GTGTCTTTTTTCCTTCCAAACTTTTTTTTCCACCAAAAGCAATGCATATAGCCCCAACAGTTGAAAGTACTCAAGTGCACCTTCTAGCAAAAAGCCCTGAAAACTAACTTCCTCTGTGTCCCCAGGTGTCCTTTTTCTCTCCTCCTTGATGTGCCCCCATCTCTTTGCTCTGAGAAAGGGTCTCACGCAGTCTAGGTTTACTTCGAGTTCACTAAACTAAAAGGGAACTGAACCCCTGACCTTCCTACCTCTACCTTCCAAATCCAGGGGTTACAGTGTGTGCCACCACCACCCATAGCCAGTCTCTTTCTGTCCCTCTTTCTTCCACTTATCTCAGGCAAAGAAAAATGGGAGGAAGTGACTTGTTGAAAGTGATAAGCACCCCAGAAGGAGGTGGTTAGCAAGCAAGCCTATCGTGGCTTCCCCTTCCTCTTCTGGACTTGGCTTTCCGGGAGTGTTGAGACTTCTTATCCCCACTGTGTTGACAGCTGACTCCTAGACACAGCCTCCATTTCTCATCCTCAGCCCTTCATCTTGTTTAGAGTCATCTTCTCTGTGATGCTTTGGACTTGCTGTGAGCCTCTTCGGTGAACACAGTCACCTGTAGGTGTCTGCTGAAGGTTGACAGCAGGATCCTACCTGTTGATAGCAGAATCCTCAAATGCTCATGTCAGTTTTGTTTGTTCATTTGTTCTGTTTTTTTGTTTTTGTTTTTGTTTGTTTGTTTGTTTGTTTGTTTTTTGAGACAGGGTTTCTCTGTGTAACAGCCCTGGTTGTCCTGGAACTCACTTTGTAGACAAGACTGACCTTGAACTCACAGAGCTTTGCCTGCCTCTGCCTCCCAAGTGCTGGGATTAAAGGAGTGTGCTACTACTGCCAGGTGTTCATGTCCTTTATATTATATAATAGTGCAGCTAGATGGTTAGCACACACCTGCAACCCCTGCATTTGGGAGTGCTAGCAAGAGCATCAAGAATTCAAGACTATCCTTGGCTGTCTATATATTGAGTTCAAGGCCAGCCTGGGCTACTTAAAATCCCTTCTAAAAAAAAAAAAAGATAAAATAACATAATCCAATACTGCATGATGTGTGGCACTCCAGACACTGAGGCAAAGGATCAAGAGCTTGCAGCCCATCATCAGTCATCTTCAAGAGTATCCAGTGGTCAGCCAGGTATGGTGGCACGATCCTTTAATCCCAGCACTGGGAGGCAGAAGCAGGTGGATCTCTGTGAGTTTGAAGCCAGCCTGGTCTACAGAGTGAGTTCTAGGACAGCCAGGGCTACACAGAGAAACCCTGTCCTCAAAAACAAAACAAAACAAAACAGAGTTCAGGCCAGATTGGGCTTGTATTGTATGTAGCATGTGTAACCCTTCCATATACTTTAAACCATTATATATACAGATATGTCTATATGTAATACTTCTTCATTTTCAGGTGCTGAAGATCAAACTTAGGGTTCCACGTGAGCTAAGCAAGAGCTCTGCTACTCGTTACTTATATTACTTATCCCTGATATGATATAAGTCCTATGCACATAGTGGTATTTCTGTATTGTTTAGGAAATAATGGCCTGAAGATTAGGCCTATAGCTCAGTTGGTGGAGTGTTTTCCCTGCATACGTTTTTTTTTGTTTGTTTTTTTGTTTTTTTGTTTTTGTTTTTTTTTTTTTCTGAGACAGGGTTTCTCTGTAGCTTTGGAGTCTGTCCTGGAACTTGTAGCCCAGGCCAGCCTCGAATTCACAGAGATCCGCCTGCCTTTGCCTCCTGAGTGCTGGGATTAAGTGCCACCACCACCTAGCTGTTTTATTTTCTTTTTAAGACAGGGCTTCTCTGTGTAGCCCTGGCTATCCTGGAACTCATTCTGTAGACAAGGTTGGCCTCAAACTTACAAATATCTGCCCGCCCATCTCTGCCTCCCAAGTGCTAGATTAATGGCACATGCCATCACTGCTCACCTCCTATTTTTAAAGTTGTGTATGTAAACATATGGGTGTATGCACCTGGGTGCAGTGCCTGAAGAGTCCAGAAGGGGGCATTAGATTCCCCTGGAACTGGAGTTAAAGGTAGTTGTGAGCCAAGTGACATGAATGGTGAGAATCCAACAGTATCTGTTGCTTTTTTGGTTTTTTTTTTTTAAATATTTTATTTATTTTTATTTTATGTTTATAGACATTTTTCTTGCATGTAGATCTTCGTACCACACATGTGCCTGGTGTCCTCAGAGGCCAGAAGAAGGTGTCAGATCCTTTGGAATATGAGTTACAGATTGGTGTGAGTTGCCGTGTGGTTCTAGGAACTGAACCTGCTAAGCCATCTCTCCTGGAACTTGGCAGTTCTCAGGCCTCTCCTTCCTCACTGCTAGGATTACAAGTGAGCACTACCCTGCATGGCTGTACTCCTTTTGTTTCCTTGTGTATTTGTTTGTGTCAGGACTTTCTCATAACCCAGGTCTTCTTGGACCGTCAGCTCCCAAATAATGACACAGAGACTTATTATTATGAATGCTCGACCTTATGTTAGGCTTATTTCTAGTTAGCTTTTTCTCCTTTAATTTAAACTAACCCATCTCTATTAATCTATGTATAATTCCCCAAGGCTCATTTATCTCATCTACTTAATGTCCATCTTGCTTTCCTGCTTTCTCCATGTCTGGCTGGCTGGGCACCAGCATTCTGAGCCCTTGTTGGCTGGGCCTTGGTTGGCTGGCTGGCTGACTCCCCTTTTCTCTCTGCCTGTCAGGCTCACCTATCCCTCCTCTGTCTAGCTATTGGCCATTCAGCTTTTTATTAGACCAATAAGTTGGCTTAGGCAGGCAAATAAAACAGCAATACATCTTTACATAGTTAAACAAATACAGCATAAACAAATACAATACATCTTTACATAACCAAATGCTGCACCAACAAATGCAACACATTTTTACATAGTTAAACAAATATTCTATTCCACAACATTGAACTCCCTGTGTCCACGAGGATGACCTCGAACTTCCAATTCTTCTGCCTCCTGGGTCCTACAATTACAGACGTGTACTATCCCTCCTGCCTTGTGTTTCACTTTTTGTATGTTTGTGTATGATGCATATGCATGTATGTGTGAGTTTGGACATGAGAGTGCCCATGTGCCTGTGGAAGACAGAGGACAACTCACAGGAGTTGATTCTCCCCTTCATCACGTGAGTCCCAGGGATTGGTCTCAGGTTTCCGGGCTTGTGAGTGAGTGTTTTTAGCCCTGGAGCCATCTGGCTGCTCCAGGCACTGTTTTGTTTTGTTTGTTTGATTGATTGGTTTTTAGAGACACGGTTTCTCTGTGTAACAGTCCTGGCTGTCCTGGAACTCACTCTGTAGACCAGGCTGGCCTCGAACTCACAGAGATCCACCTGCCTCTACCTCCTAAATGCTGGGATTAAAGGTGAGCGCCATCACCACCCAGCTGTCGTACACTGTTTTTAGACCTTAGTTGTTTTCATCTGTTTATTGGGAATTATCTGGGAGAGATGAGGACTCAATAAAAGACATATTATATGCAGGACCTGACCTGCGCCCTGGAACACTGTGGCTATTGTTTCTGTTTTTATTAACAGGCATCTCTTCCTATAGATAGAGACCCAAACTGGGCTCTGTCCCCAGAATTACTACAGCTTTATAAATAGATCCTGTTCCATGTATCTTAGCTGAGGTCTGGTCGTGGGCAGGACTCTGGTCTGCCTTCTATACAGCTGTAAGAAGAGCACTGAGTTCAGGCTGTAAAGGGCTGTGGGGAGACCCATGGGAGAATAAAATGAAGGAAACCCCTCTTTTATTTTTACCTATTTATTTATTCTTAAGACAGTGTTTCACTCTGTAGCCCTGGATGACCCAGAACTTGTTCTGTAGACCAGGCTAGTCTCGAACAGAGTCCCATCTGCCTCTGCTTCCCAAATTCTGGGATTAAAGGCATGCACGGCCCTATAAGCTATTTGCTAGTTTGTTGTTTTGGAGACAGAGTTTTGCTATACACAATCTCCTCACCTTTAAATTTAAATGTACATAGGAACATCTCAGCCCCTGGGTCTGGGGCTCTATCAAGGTAGGTGTCCCTAGGAGTTATCCCTGATTTTATATGTAAATATATGTGTTAGTTTATTTCTGTGAGTATAGGTGTTTTGCCTGCATGTATGACTGTATACCATTTGCATGCCTGATGTCCGAAAGGACCAAAAGAGGGCGCTGTATTCCCTGGAGCCCCTGGACCTGGAGTTACAGACAGTTGTTGGCCTCCATGTGAACGCTGGGAATGGATCGAACCCAGGCCCTCTGCAATAACAGCTAATGCTCTTGGCCACTTAGCCATCTCTCCAGCCATCCCACTCGACTTTTGGAGACAGGTATTCACTAGGTAGCCCGGGTGGTCCCGGGAATGGCGATCGTCCCATCTGTTTCCGAAATGCTAAGTGTAAGCAGCCACACCCTCGCCAGAAATTTATTCGTTCATCTTTTGGGCTTTTAATTTTGTTTTGTTTTTTGTGTTTTATGTTGTTCGTTTTTTGAGACAGGGCCATATTATGTAGCCCTGGAACTTACTCTGGCATCGAACTCATACAGATAAACCTGCTCCTGCCTCCCGAGGGCTGGAAAAAAGGAGTGAGCCACCACGGAAGCTATCTATTAATTTTTCAGTTTTTTGGTTTTTTTTTTGACAGTCTTGTATTTCCCTCCCAACAATGTACCGGACTCCGGATCAGTTGTTCCCAACATGATCATGGCGAATCCCTCCTCCACAACTTCTTCCTTCTTCCACATGCTAGTGTCTCAAAGCAAAGACCCCAGCACAGTACTGGAGAAGTAAGGGAAGTGCCTTAAGGCCTGATCACTAAAGGCCCGTCTCACTTTGAACCAGGTTGGCCCAGAACTCGCAGCAATCCTGCCTCCCCCCCCCCCCCCCCCGCCTCCCGACATGCTAAGATTAAAGGCAGACGCCCCCATTCCCGAGGAGAGTTTCAATTCTGAGTTGAAAAGCTGCCACTCCCGCGAGGAACAGAATTGGAAGGGACATCAGGCAGGAAAGAACTTGGTCACCCTTCCCATCCCGTCCATCTCCCGGATCCAGGAGCGTCGGGCTCCACCCTCCCAGGTCCTGTCCCCACACCTGATGTTTGGGCGTGCCTCAGTTTCCCAGTAGCAGGGCGTTCCGCCAGCCCCGCTCCTCCCCTTTTTCCTCTTCCTCTTCGAGGCGTCGGTGGCCGCGCCTGGAGCTCCCGGAACTAAAAGCAGACCACGGGCGGTGGGCCGACGGGGGCCACGTCAGCGGGTGGCGGACTGTGAGGGCACCATGCGGCGGGGCGCGCTCCTGGCCAGTGCCCTGGTCGCCTACGCCGGGTACCTGGCGCTGGGCGCGCTGCTGGTGGCTCAGCTGGAGCGGCCGCACGAAGCCCGACTGCGGGCAGAGCTGGGGGCGCTGCGGGAGCAGCTGCTGCAGCACAGCCCGTGCGTGGCGGCGCCAGCCCTGGACGCCTTCGTGGAGCGGGTACTGGCGGCCGGACGGCTGGGACGGGCGGTGCTGGCCAATACCTCGGGACCCGCCAACGCTTCAGACCCCGCCTGGGACTTCGCCTCAGCGCTCTTCTTCGCCAGCACACTAGTCACTACCGTGGGTAAGTGAGAGCCATCCTCCCACTCCCCAGTCAGCGTCCGTCAGGCTCCTTAAAGATACACCTTCATCCAAATCATCTCAGGGTCTGGGATCCTCTCAAAACAACCCCCGTTCCCAGCACGAAAACAGACCCACACTGGCCTCCGCTGCCCCTTTTGAAGAGTGCAAGCCAAACCTTCCTCTCAAGTAGTAAAAAGTTCAGTTCCCTTAGAGTAGAGACCCCTTCATAACTTCTTACAGCATCTGGGTCCTCCTCTGGGACCGTTTATTTGTTTGATCTTGAGATAGTACCTCTCTTTGTAGCCTTGGCTAGCCTGAAACTTCATCCCCCAGGCTCAGCCTCCTAAAATGCTGAGACTACAGATGTGGGCCCCCAGGCCTGGCTCCACTCCTTTCTTAACCCTCTTGACCTAGGATTAGTGTACATAATTGGCAAGGGCCTGGGGCCTTCCTTGTGTCTCTGATCCCATGGGCTGTGCCCACATTAGCACTGGCACAACCATCTCTTCCATCTCCTAACTCCAGATAGGTCCTTCTGGGAACAGCCCACTTCAGCTGCCTCCTGAACTTAGATCTCCAGGGAGCACCGAGATGCAGGACCGGGGATTGAACTTGGACCCTCATGCATTCTAGTCAGTAACCTCAGGGCACCATCACTCGAGGCCTGGCTTCTAGGAGAGACCTGAGATCCTTTCTGGGATCACTTCCACCCTGACACTCTCCAGCAAGGGCCCCAGACCAAAGGCGCCCACCCCTCTACTGTCCCCATATTTCCCACACTGACACAGGGCTCCACCTATCTCCCCCCCCTCCCCCCCTCCCCCGTGTTGCCAAGATTTCTCCCAATGTTCTTCCACTCCAACTCAGGATTCCTGGATCGGCAGCTCCAACAACCAGGGGTAAGAAGGGAACAAACTGAGAGGGTCCTCCATGAAGAATTATTGGCTGTCCAGCTTGAAGGCCGCAAGTCAACACTCCCCCCAAACTACCTCCAGCAAAACCTCTAGCCCTTTCTAAAACGAGGACCAGCCACGGGTGTCCCTTTCAGTTCAGAAGTGAGAAGGGTTGAGGTGTAGCTCTGTTGTAGAACACTTGTCTAGCATGGGTGAAGTCCTGAGTTCAATCGTCAATACAACAAAAACCAGGCCGGTGATAGTGGTGCACACCTTTAATCCCATCACTTGGGAGGCAGAGGCAGGCGGATCTCTGTGAGTTCATAGCTAGCCTGGTCTACAGAGTGAGTTCCAGGACAGCCAGGAAACCCTGTCTCAAAAAAAACAAACAAACAAACTACAAAACCAGAACACCTAAACCTGTGAATGGGACTGCCATCCATCTTCCAGACTGTGACCCTGCTCAGGGAGAACAAATCCCCACCTCAGGACACAGTCCAAACACTAGACTCTCTTCACTTGCTGTTCCCCCTCATATTCCCCCGGGATGACCAATATGCTCACACCCTACAGCTGGAACTTCACTTGCTACACAGCCCTGCCCCAGCCTGTTTGAGACAGGCCATTCTCTCTACCCGGGATACTCGAGGCCCTCTATGACAGAGCCCCACTACCCCAACAGTATTGCTGACTCCACCCTTGACACCCAGCAAGGACCTTAGCATTGTCTGCCCCACTACTTCCTTTGGCTACCCTGGGCTCAGGAGCTCTGGCAGCATGAGAGCTCACCCAATCCAGATGAAATCTCCTGGCACCTGTTCCTCATTCCTATGGAACTAGGACCACAAGAACTCATCTTACGCTAGGACCCTGGGCTTGCTTTAAGGTTATGGACCCCCCAGCTGGGTGTGGTGGTACACCCCTCGGCACTTATGAGGTGAAAGCAAGAGAACCAATCTGGGCTACATGAGACCCTGTCTCAGCCAAACCAAACAGGACGAGGGGGAAGACTCCATGGGGAGGGATGTTTACACTCATGTAAACGCTGAGCATGGCTGTGCAAACCTGTAACCCCAGCACTGGGGCAGAGACAGGCTCATTCTTGGGAGCTGCATAGCTGAATCAGCAAGCTTCGGTTCTGTGAGAGACCCTGCTGGAGGGGACAAGCTAAAGAGAGAGTGAACAGGACCTCAGACATTGTCCTCTGGCTTCTGTGCCTGTGCAGACACACCTGTGCACGTCCATTCACAAAATAAATACACACAGAGAGAAAATAAAATAAAAGAACACATCACCTTACACAAATATTAGCCCTCTGCTGACACATTCAGGTAGGACCCACCTCTACCTGTACCCTTAAGAACCCTAGGAAGTCCCTCCTGGAAAGTCCCTTCCATCCGCACAGCACAGACCTGGGAAACCCCTCAGAGGCCCTCTGCTGCTCTGCAGCCCCTCCCTCGCCACAAGGTGACCTCTTTTGGGGACTTCAAACAGGGCAGAGGCTGAGCCACACTCTTAACTGCTTCTCCAGCTGGCAGTATCACAGAATCGCGGGTGGATTTGTCCCCCACTGGGGCCCTCATTGTGTGTGAGCAGCAAACGGAGGTCACTGGCAACAGCTGACAACAGCGCTGGGTGACTCTTCACAGAAAAGAATGAACACATCTCCCCTGAGGCTTGCTTTCCCCAAGCTTCCTGAGCCGGCCTAACCTGCTTCTGGACTTCCCTAGGGGGACAGACACTTGTGTCTCTTTCTCCTCCTAGAGTTGGCGTCTGGCAGGTCATCCCCTGGCACAGGCAGATGGACAAGTGAGGGGACAGAGATGCCGATGCCGCAGACACAGCTGGCTGAGCGACTGCAGAGCTGCACAGAACTCCCCACTTCTCAGCATGACAGGGGCTCACCACACCCAGGCTTTAACTCAGTCAGTAAAACACCCTTGTGAGGCAGCTGCTGTTTATTGTCTGTCTGTCTATCATCTGTGAAGCTAGAACCCAGAGAAGCTGGCCAGCTGTCACATGGTCACACAGCTAGGATGGTGTCGAGCACTGTGACACACATTTTTAGTCCTAGCACTCCAGACGTGGAAGTAGTGGGATTACTACAAGTTTCAGTCCGACGAAAGCTACAAGTGAGATCCTGTCTCGAAAAACAAAACCAAAAAACATGAGTAAAGGCTGCTGACATAGAGGCAGAGAGGCAGTGAAGATCTGTTTCCACGGTGCCAGCAGCTAAGGAATCTTCGCGGCTGGGGAACTCACAGGCTGAATGCTTTCAACCAGGAGTTATGGTGAAATAGTCTATATCGGGTGCATCAGTCCTGATGGAGCTTGGGGGAGAATCTGATCCCTTCTGCCACTGTGGGTTGCTCCCCTAGTTTCAGATCCAGAACATGGGTTCTGTATTCCCCCTCCCCCCCGACCATGTTCTGCTCTGAGATTTTTGGTTCCACCAGACTGTGCAGGTCTTTTGAGGTCAGTTCTGAAACCCAGCCTGTACAGTGAGTAGGAACAGGGAAGTTGGTTTGAGGGCTCATGCATATAGCTTGGCATGCAAAAAAGATAACGTGACCATGCCTGGTGGTACAGGCTTGTAGTCCCAGCTATCAGAGGCTGATGAAGGAGTAGCCCAATGTCAAGGTCTGTCTGGGAGATTTAGTGAGATCCTGTCTCAAACTAGAGAGTAAAAGAGGTGTGGGGTTCAGTTGTAGAGCAGCTGCCTTGGATACACCAAGGGAACCGCTTGACTCAGCCAGAAGTGGAGGTTCTTTGTAAGAGTCAGCAGTAAGGGACATGGTGGAGTGTGTGTGTGTGTGTGTGTGTGTGTGTGTCCTAAAAGAACTCAATACTTGACTATATCAAAATAGCATCACAGGACCTGTGATGAAGATTATTAAAATGAAACATTAAGGCAGAGAAGAGTGGGGGATGGCACAGGAAAGGGTGATGGAACGGGTGATAACGCTGGGCATGGTGGCTGACACTAGCAACCTCAGAGTGTCTGACGTGGGGGTGGAGATGGGGTTAAGACTGTTCTTGCAGAGGACACAGGTTCAGTGCTGAGCACCTTCATGGCAGCTCATGACTGTAACTCCAGTTCCAGCGAGCTGGCCTCTCTTCTGACCTGCACAGACTCTTGCTCACGTGTGGTGTCCATACCCACATTCAGGCACATACATATACACATAAAAATTTAAGTTTTTTTTCTTAAAAAGCCTGAAGCAGGAGGATTGCTATGAGTTTAAGTTCATCCAGAATGAAACCCAGCCCCAAAAAGATAAATAAATTGTTAAATACATGTTAGAAAATGTCATAATAGGGGGCTGGAGGTGGCTCAGTGGTAAAGAGCACTGGCTACTCTTGCAGAGGACCTGGGTTCAATTCCTATCACCCACATGGCAGCTCACAACTCTGTAACTCCAGTTCCAGGGCATCCAATACTCTCATACAGACATAAATGCTAGCAAAACACCAACACATATAAAATAAAAATAAATAAATTATTTTTAAAAATGTTGTAATAAAACCATTATTTTATACAATGAATATACACTAATTGAAAGGTTACAAAAAGCCCAGAGGTGGTTGCATGCCTATAATCCCAGCCCCTCAGGAGGATGGAGGGGGATCATGGGTTTTAGTGCATTGTGGGCACAACAGCCATATAATAGATAACACAATAAATAAATCCAATTAAAATGCACGTAATTTAATTTTTAATTTTTAGATCATTATTTTATGAGTGTTTTATTATATATTATTAATATATTATATATTGCCTACACATATATATGTGCATCATGTACATGCCTGGCACACAAGGAGGTCAGAAGAGGGTGGATCCTGCCAGGCTGTATGGTCATGTCTTTAATTCCAGCCTTCAGGATGCAGACGTAGGCAGATCTCTGTGAGTTTGAGGCCAATATCCCCGAGATTTGGAGTTACAGATGGTTGTGAATGACTATGTGGGTGCTGAGAATCAAAATCGGGTCCTTTGCTAGAGCAACAAGAACTTTTAACCACTTAATCATCTCTCCAGAGTCCTCAGAATAATAGTAGTAATAATAGTAGTAATAGTAGTAAATAATAGGCATGGAAAGGAATTCTTCCAAAACGAGACTTAAGAATGCTCTCTACCCACCTCCCTGAAGTCTGGCCTTGCTCATGTTAAACAAGTGGTCCACACTGGTCCACACCCTGCACCAACAGGATTCTTCCTTTTTAAGTCAGGGTCTCTCTATGTAGTGCATACTGGCCTCAAACTTCCAATCCTTCCACCTCGGCTTCCTGAGATTACAGGTGTGGAGCATCATGCCTGGCTTCCTAAGGAGTCTTGCTACCTGCTTTGGGACACATGATAGATACCCAGTTTGAGATTACAGGTGAAGAGTTCTCGTGGACAGCACGAGATAGGGTGGGTGAATCTGTCCATGTGAATAGCTGGTGGTAGTCACTGATGTTTACGTGACTCAGTCTGTACTGTCATTGAGAGAGTCTCTCGTGGACAGCACGAGATAGGGTGGGCGAATCTGTCCATGTGAATAGCTGGTGGTAGTCACTGATGTCTACGGGACTCAGTCTGTGCTGTCATTGAGAGAGTCAAGCTGGGAGTCCTTAAACCTGGAAAAATGAAACAAATTCAATGCCACTGAAACCTGTTTCCTAAACCAGGTAGTGGTGGCACACACCTTTAATTGCAGTGCTTGGGAGGGGAGGCAGAGGCAGGAGGATCTCTGTGAGTTCAAGGTCAACCTGGTCTACAAAGCAAATTCCATGGCAAGCTCCATAGCTACTGGGAAACACTGTCTCAAAAAACCTCTTTTCTGCTGGGTGGTTCTGCCAGGTGGTGGTGGCACCTTTAATCCCAGTACTTGGGAGACAGAGGTAGGTGGATCTCTACAAATCTGAGGCCAGCTTGGTCTACAGAGCAAATTCTAGGACAGCCAGGAGTACACAGAGAAACCCTGTCTCGAAAAACAAACAAAAACCTAAAAGCAAAGTTAACATTTGAAAGGTGATGGTGACACATGCCTTTAATCCCAGCACTCAGGAGGCAGAGGCAGGAGGCTCTCTGTGAGTTTTAGGCCAGCCTGGTCTACAGAGCAAGTTCCAAGACAACCAGGGCTACACAGAGAAACCCTGTCTCAAAAAACGAAACAACAACAACCAAAAATATCCCTCTTCCAATGGTATATTTAATTCATTTTGCCAGAAGTCAAGGAATTCTTTCTTTTCTTTCTTTCTGGTTTGTTTGAGACAGGGTTTGTCTGTGTAATAGCCCTAGTGGTCCTGGAACTCGTTCTGTAGACCAGGCTGATCTCCAGAGATCCACCAGCCTCCTGAGTGCTAGAATTAAAGGTATATACCACCATGCTCAGTTTGAAGTCCAGGATTTCAAAGACCTGGCACCCGTTGTTTTGGGCTTTCACAATGTTGCTGAAGACAGGAAATAGGTGATGAGAAGCTGTCCTAATAGGGAAAAATACAAGGTTTATATTCCTTGTAGTTGGCTGGGAGTGTGGCTCAATTGTAGAGCTCCTGCCTAGAATCCCCCAGTGAGGGGCTGGGGTGTGGCTCAGTGGTAGAGCTCCTGCCTAGAATCCCCCAGTGAGGGGCTGGGGTGTGGCTCAGTGGTAGAGCTCCTGCCTAGTATCCCCCATGAGGAAATCCCCAGGGCTAGAGGACGGCTCCACATAGAGTGCCTGTCCAGATGCCCCAGGCTAATGTGGGAATGATCCCTCAAAACTAGGGAAAACTTTTTTTTAAGTGAGTAACTCAAAGCAAGTGCATTGAGATGAGTCCAGAGGGTTTATTTATGGGGTTTCCCCTGGGTTTCAAAAGAAACCACAGCTTGAATGGGCCTGTGTGGCCAGCGGAGACAGGGAGGAGGGGGGAGCAGTGAGGTTAGGAGGAACTTGGGCCCCAGGGTGTGGAGGTGCTGGTGTACAAAAGGACTCCTCTCCCCACAGGCTATGGCTACACGACCCCGCTGACAGATGCGGGCAAAGCCTTCTCAATTGTCTTTGCGCTCCTGGGTGTGCCCACCACCATGCTGCTCCTGACTGCCTCGGCCCAGCGCCTGTCACTGCTGCTTACCCATGCACCCCTGTCCTGGCTGAGCTTGCGTTGGGGCTGGCACCCCCAGCGGGCAGCCCGCTGGCACCTGGTGGCCCTGCTGGTGGTCATAGTGGCTGTCTTCTTCCTGGTGCCAGCTGCGGTTTTCGCCTACCTGGAGGAGGCCTGGAGCTTCCTGGATGCCTTCTACTTCTGCTTCATCTCTCTGTCCACCATTGGCCTGGGGGACTATGTGCCTGGGGAAGCCCCTGGCCAACCTTACCGGGCCCTCTACAAGGTTCTTGTCACAGGTGAGCTGCATAGCTGGCTGGGCATCTGTGGGCTGGCAGTGGGGGAATTCTCAGGAAGAAATGGCCCTGTCCTAAGGAGTGTTGAAGGGGTTCTAAGAGACAACCAGCTGTCCAAGGGGAGAGACACCTGTGGGACCACATCCCTGCTCTGGAGTCTGAACCTGAAACTGACCCATCACCTTGCCATCTCCCCATCTCCCCTCCCCCATGTCTACAGCATACCTTTTCCTGGGCCTGGTTGCCATGGTGCTGGTGCTGCAGACTTTCCACAATGTGTCTGACCTCCATGGCCTCACCGAACTCATCTTGCTGCCCAGTCCGGACCCTGCCAACTTCAGTCCGGATGAGGATGACCAGGTGAACATTCTGGACACCCAGACAGATCTGCACCAGCACCTCTCATCTGGCTCCCACGCTAACTATGCCTCCATCCCCAGGTAGCTGGGTAGGTGCTCTCAACATGGATACACCTGGCCAGGGCTTTGGACCCCATGTGTCTAGAGTGAACCAACAAGAGGGCCCTCGCACGCTCTCCTGACTCTCAAGGCCCTCCGCTGGGAGCAGAGGAGTAGCTGCTCTGCGCCCATGTCCTCAGCTGCTCAGGGAACCACCACAGCCGCTTTCTCTTCCTTCCTCTTCTCTCATTTCTTCACATACTCGGACCCCTTGAGCCTTCTGACTTAGTTGGTGAGAGCGGTGCTTTAACGTGTCTTGTTCTTTTCTTATGTCTCGTTCTCTCCTGTCGCATCATTCACACCTCAGCTGCCGGTTCTTCCGGGCCCTGGGCCTGGGCTTCACTTCAGCCACTGCGTTAGTGGCTCTGTCTTGGTCAAGTGATTTCCCCGTTCTAAACTCTGATCTCCTCTGCTATCTGATGCAAAGAATATCAGACTGGTTCGCAGCCCTCACTTCTGCCCTTCTACTGGTTCTGTGCCAGGCACATAGCAGCAGAATAACAGTAGAAGTGGCTTGGGCTCTGTTCTTTCTGTTGTTTTGTTTTGTTTTGTTTTTCGAGGCAGGGTTTCTCTGTAGCTTTGGAGCCTGTCCTGGAACTAGCTCTTGTAGACCAGGCTGGTCTTGAACTCACAGAGATCCATCTGTCTCTGCCTCCCGAGTGCTGGGATTAAAGGCATGGGCCACCACTGCCTGGCCTTGGGCCATGTTCTTACAGGGCTCACCAACTAGTGAGGTAGACTCACCTACTGGTCCTTTGCCCAGGCTCTGGAAGAGACAGAGTAGTTAGGATTGAGGAAAGGATCTGAAATGTCCAGGTGGACTTCCTAGAAGAAGGGACAAGAGCTAACCCAAGACCTGCCAGTCAAGAGAAGAAATTGTCCCTTCTTTTCAGGTGTCTACGGCTCATAGTACTTGTGGAAAGAGGCCTGGGATGGGCCAGCATCTCCCTCAGTGGCGTGGCAGGCAAGGAACTGATCCAGGATATGAACCCAGATTCAAGGAGCATGGGAGGTGTCACTTAATATAGTCCATGGTGATGCTGTATCTGTTTACTGAGCACTAATGGATGGCCCTGTGTTCTGAGCCAGTTTTCCTGGGTGTACCCTGTAACAGGGCTGTACCCTGCCCGTGCATTTGAACAGGTGCTCTACCTCTGGGTTCTGTGTTTGCTAAATGCTGATCATAATAATACTATTCCAAAAGACGACGTCAGCCGAAGACGTCAGCCAGGTGTAGTAGCACGTGCCTGTAATCTAAGCTGAAGCAGGAGGCTTGAGATTTCCAGGCCAGGCTGGGCTACACAGCTGGAATGAGGTATTAAAATAATAATAATAATAAAGATAACAGTAACAATCAATACATATAAGCAAAGGGTTATAGTGCCAGGCCAAAGATACCAGAGAAGGCTGTAGCCCACACACCCTCATGGCTGGGACTTACTGTATTTATACATTTATATCACTTAGAAAGGGTTTCACTGTAACAAACCCTTGACTGGCACTGTCTGAGTTAACCTAATTGTTACATTGTAATTGGACAGAGCACACAGAGTACACAGAGTGCCCACAGGGTGGGGTTTGGGTGGGTGCGAATCAGGGCCATGATGCTCTCCACAGTTTTGAAGGGTCTACTGGCCCTGGATTCAGCCTCTTTCTTCTGTTTCTCTCCACTGAAGGCTTAGCTCCCATGTGTGCTCTCCCCCTGGTGTCCAAATGGCCGTCACAAACCTAGACAAGCTCTTTCTAGGGCATGCCATAGAAACTTCAACCAGAGTCCTGAACTTTAAGGAAGGCTAGCTCATCCGCAAATCATGCTAGAAAGTCTGTCGTTGTCCGAGAGAAGCCCGGACCATAAATTATCTCTCAGACCAGCGTGGAGGTGTAGGATTAATTGAGGCACAACTCAAATGGCTTTATCTGGAGGGAGTTTTCAGGGATCCCTCATGAAATCCCAAGTTCACATCCTGAAAATTCACCCAGGTTTATTCTCCAAACAGCTTTTATACCCAAATGTAAACTGAGGGGGAAAATTTATTAGCATTCTGTTTCCTAGGTAGCCGGGAGAATTACTGTGGTCACGTCCACACCTTTCTATGCCCATTTTGTCACATCTTCCTATCTATGTCTGCTCTGTCATGTAGACTGAATTAACACCTCTTTCCCAGGCGACCTCCCAAATTACCAAAAGTTAGCAGCGTGACATTGCCAGATCCTGACCCTTTGTTTAGGATGGCATCAGTTTGTCTGGAAAGGCTAGGTGACCAATGGTGTGGGAGAATTGTCTGTATTCTGTCAATCATATTTTAATAAAACGCTGATTGGCCAGGCAGGCAGTATAGGCGGGAAAGCCAGACAGGAAGTAGAGGTGGAGCAAAGAGACTGGGAGTATTCTGGAAAGCAGAAAGTTCCCACCACAGTTCTGCCCAGACCACCGGAGAGGAAAGATGTAAGCTGCCCCGCTGGAAAAGGTACTGAGCCATGTGCTAATGTAGATAAGGATAATGGGGTAACATAAGTTGTAAGAACTAATAAGTAGCCTGACCTAATGGGCCAATCAGCTTTATGACTTATAGAGATCTCTGTGTGATTGATTTTCCTTGGGAGTTGCCGGCTGTGGGGTACCAGGTGGGACAGAAACCCCAACATGCTACAGACCACTTCCTGTGTGGCCAGGTGCAAACTGTGGCCTGAGAGTCTGGCCACCATACAATGTAGAAATATGGGCCTGTATAATATAGCCCTACAATCCACTCTCTTATTAATTTTAATAAAACCTGTGCTTCTGTAACAGAACAGATGATCACATCTGCAGTAGGCAAAGACTCCTTCATTTACCCAAATTTGCCCGTCCTTGGAACAGGCATTCCATTCATACGAGCTCCTGTCTTAGGCACCTGGGGAGAAGAAGCTTCAAATCCCTGACTGCCGACCTCTGTGAACAAAGGAGATTAGGGAGAGAGATACCTGTGGGCTCTGTGTCTCGGAGCCATACTTTCTAGTCAGGAGAGATCGTAATGTTTTATGAACAATCGTGCTCCTAAAGGCTGTAGTCTCCTAGTTAAAGGAGAGGGGGATGGCCTGAGTTGAAAATGTTTCTTCAGCTGCTCTAGTGCACCTCTTAAATTTTTTACATCGTATCAAAATCTAAAATATGCATTAAACTCAAACATTTACAGGGCATGTCAAACTTTTCTCAACATCTTGTGAGCAGTTACAAACATTACTAGGTCAATACCATAATTCTAGAATGGGAATTAACAATAAATCCACAATTTAACATATCACAATCTTCTTAAATCCATATTAATCAAAAGACAAGAAAAGCTTTTCTGATGGGTGAGAACAATGACATTGCCGCTATCAGATACCAGTTCCAGTCTCTGAGCAGCAGTTAAACCCTCAGGCTGCCCCCTCTTAAGTGAAGAGCGGCTTCAGTCATTCCTTACTGAGTCTTTCCCTGAGGGGAAAGCTTAGATCTTAGTTCTCAGGTCCAATATTTCAATCAAAATGAGTCCTGTGTCCCAAAGATTAAAACAGTCAAATGTTCAGTCTGCATTTACTGCAAGCATGTAGTCATCATGGTCATCGCAGCTGGGCCTCTGTCTGTGTCCCCAGTGTCTGGAAACAGCTCAGCTTCTGTCCATCAGTGCAGAATGCCACCCTGCAGTGCAGAGCAGTGGCAACACATCAGGCACTCCTCTCTGTGGGGGCAGGGAAGACTGGGCCACAAACTCCTCTGTGGGGGCTGCATCAGTTATCAGCTACATTGTCAGCAGGCCTGATGTGGTGACACCCACCTGTGTCCTCGCACCGCGGAGGCTGAGGCTGAAGACTGGAGGAGATGTCCAGGACAATTTGAAAACAAATCACAGGGATGCGAAACTTCCAACGGGGCTGGGGATGTTCTCAGTGGTGGAGCATGTCTATCCCAGATGCTAAACAAAACAATTTACAGTAAAGGGGCTGAGAAAATGGCTCAGGCAGGCAGGCACCAAGACCTGAGTTTCTCCCCAGCACCTACATAAAGAATGCTAGAACTGGCTGTGTAGGGCCTGGGATCCCAGTGCTGGAGGGGATGAGGCTAGAGGGGGCTCAGAGCAGATCAGTGCGTTCCAGCTTCCAAAAGTAAGGTGGAAGCTGGGCCCCATGGCACATGACTTAGGTCCCAGTACTCAGGAGGCAGAAACTGGTGCCTATCTCTGAGTTCATGGCCAGCCTCATTTATACTGTGAGTTCCAGGACAGACAGTTAGGGCTTCATAGTGAGACCTTGTCTTCACAAAACAACTAAAAAATGAAAATAGGGTGAAAATTATAGAGGAAGAAACTAGATATTAAACTCTGACTTCCACATGCAAACTCATACATGCACACACACATATGCATACACACATATTTAAAAATCTGAGTTAGCAAAATAGCTCATCAGGGGAAAAGACTTTCTGCGTAAACTGAGTTAGTGCCACCCTTGGGACCCAGGGGAAGGAGAGACGCAACTCCCCAAATTTTATTCCCTGTCACAGAAAGTTCTTTGACCTCCACACAAGTACAGCTGTGTCAATTGATTCCCCAGGTCTGTGTCTGCACACAGTCTAGGCAAGAACCAGCAGTATGTGTGCGTGTACACGTCATTGTCTCCATCCCGTGTGGGCAGAGTCTGTGCATAGTCCAGCTGGAGGTGGTCATGGTTACCAGCTCTGCAGACAAAGCTCTGTGTGTGTGTGTTTGAATCCCGTTGTCCTTGCATTTCATTTGTGCCCCAGGTTGCTTGCTTGTGAAGTGGGATTTGTACAGCACTACCTCATGGACACCATCTGGGAGCCAGTAAAATGCTATTTTTATCCTCATTTCTGACCTCTGCTTCTTAATAAGGAAGACCGCTTTAAGTAGATAATGTCTTATTGTATTCTTTTTTAAAAAATATTTATTTATTTATTTATTATGTATACAATATTCTGTCTACATGTGTGCCTGCAGTCCAGAAGAGGGCAACAGACCTTATTACAGATGGTTGCGAGCCCCCATGTGGTTGCTGGGAATTGAACTCAGGACCTTTGGAAGAGCAGGCAATGCTCTTAACTGCTGAGCCATCTCTCCAGCCCGTCTTATTGTATTCTTATTATATTATCTATGTTGTATGTATGTGTCTATGTATATCACATGTGTGCGGGTGCCCATGGGGACCAGAAGAGGTTGCCAGATCCCTGAACCTGGAATTACAGTCAATTGTGAGCTGCCTGACAAGGGTCTTGGGACTGGAACTCAGGTCTTCTGGAAGAAAAGTCTATGCTCTTAACCACTAAGCTATCCTGCAAGCTTTCCCCTAACAGCTAGACACGTGCATACACAAACGTACACGCCAAGTAAATAAATAAATGTAAATTGTTTACTTTAAAAGATTTCTTAGGTCTGAGGACATGTTTCAGCAGAATAACATTTGCTCAGCATGCACAGAGAGACCTGAGTGTAATTCCCAGTACAGCTAAATAAATAATAAATTCATGATCCAAGCTGGAAGCAGCAAGTTGAGCCAAGACTGTCATGATTTGAAACCTGTCTGGACCCAGAGTAAAATCAATGTCAGAAATCCACAGAAGTCTAATGTGGTGGTACAGGCCTGTAGTCCCAGCACTCTGGAGGCAGAGACAGGAGGATTGGGAGTTCAAACCCATCTTTGGGTCCACTGTAATTCTAGCCCTGCCTTAGATACATTAAGACCCTGTCTCAAAACAACAGAAAATGCAGGGCTGGAGAGGCAAGGCTCAAAGGTTGAGTGTGGACTGTTGCTGGTCCCTAACCGGAATGTCCAAATGGTAGAGGCAGGCAGATCTCTACATCTGTGGCTATCCTGGTCTATATTGCCAGTCCCAGGGCAACCAGTGTCTGAGTTAAAGATATTGGGAAGGCAGAGAAACAGAAACAGAACAAAACCCTGATACATTGTTTGAAAGTTACTTTCCTTAAAAAAGTCAAACCACAGGGATCTACAGCTAAAACTGGCTAGGCTGGATTTGGCTATTGTCTTCCTCTCCTGATTATTCAGAATATTAGATAAACAATTAGGTTTTAGTTTGATGGTATAGAATTTCAACTTGAGTAATTCTGTCTTGTTGGTAAGTCAGTATAGGAGCTCAGTGCAAACCGTGGCCTTCAGTATATCCTAATAAGCAGTGTTTAGCTGGTACATGCCAGAATCCAAAGGAAAATTGTTACCCTATTGAATGTTTCCTCAGGCCAAGTTTCGTACTCTCTGTGTAGCCAGACTGATTTCAAACTCATGATCTTCCTTCCTCAGTTTCCTAAGTGTTGGGAGTATGGATGTGGGCAACCACACCTGACCATGCCTCCCTCCATAAGTGTTGGGTGTTTTGTTGTTTTGAGACCAGGTCTCACGAAAAAGCTCTGGCTGGCCCGGCACTTGTTATGTAGACCCAGGAATAAAGGAACCATTGAAATCTTGCCTCCCTGTCGTGATCTCTGGAAGAATTTTGGAGACGCATAAGAGTGTAATGTAGAAGTTGGACACACGGGTTGAGTGGACAATGACCAGAGGGAACACATTGTAGATCTACGTTCTGGGCAGGCTTGATGCTAGTTCTAAAATCTCTTCCTAGTTGTAGTGGCATATGCTGGCAGGATATATCTATGATTCAGAAACTAGAGGTTCCGAGTTCAAGGCCGACTGGGCTATACCTGTGAGTCAAAGAGATAGTTCAGTGGTTCAGAGGGCTTGTATCTCAAGCCTGAGGACCTCAGTTTAATCCTCAGGATCCGTGGGAAAAGCCGGCTGGAGGCTGTGGTTCTTATCTGGAATCCTAGCACTTCTGAAATGCGACGGTTGGGAGCAGGCACAGGCCACCACAATCGGCTTTTTTCTTCCCTTTCTTTTTTTCTTTCTTTCTTTTTCTTTTTCTTTTTTTTCTTATTTTTTTTTTTTTGTGACGGGGTTTCTTTGTGGCCTAGGATGGCCTTGACCTTCCAGTGTTGCCAAGGATGATCTTCAACTTCTGATCTTCTTGCCTCTACCACAGAAGTGTGGGGATTATGGGCGTTCACTGGTTTGCACACCCAGTTAAGCAATGACTCTACCAACTGTCCCAGTCCACACACACCTTTGTCTTTTTCTTTCTTTTTCCCTTTTCTCCTCCCATGTCCTCCCCTCCCCGTTTTTCTTCAAGGTTTCATTGAAGACGTGGTTTCTCTGTACAGAAGACTTGACTGTCTCGAAAAGTAGCTTTGTAGACTAGGCTGACCTTGAACTCACAGCCTTCACTCACTCTAGAGAAGGGGATTAAAAGCAGGTTCCTCCAAACCCTTCTGTAAGCAGTAATCTTTCTATGTGTATGAATGCGCACCACTTGAGCCT